TATTATTTTATAGTTTTATATTATATATTTGCAATAAAATTAAAACACGTTGTATATTATTAAGATATATCTACATTGAAAATGTAACAAACGGATATGACTTACATAGTGTCTTTATAATCTAAAATAAAAAGTTTTCAATCTAAATAATAAAATATAAGATATGTTTTTATATTTCTAATATTGTTCTGCATGTATTAAATGCAAAATAAGTATACATAAAACTCTATATAAAAGCAAAGAGTAGAGTTTTATGTAATTATTTATTCATTCGAGTCTCAGAAGGCTTAATATTTAATTTGCAAAATAAGTTGTTATGCAATCATGTTACACGGAAATATATTTGTAAAACGTAATCAACATCGAAGTATTGTACGTATCAATCAATAATAAATAAATCCGACATGCGGTGAATTTATACATCTCTTAGGCGATAACTTGTTAAATGGAAAATTTTTACGTGGCAAATGGATATGACTTACGGACTTACTGGGCTATAATAAATCATTATTTTGTCGACTGACGGATAAATTTTATAGAATCGGCTTTACGTGCGGCAGTAGCAAAATGCAGCGAGGTGGTGCGTCCCGTGATTTTCATCGGAATATAAATCATTCGGTAGTCAGAATAGTATTTCTCGTGCGTTACGGCCAGCAATGTGGCCGGAAAACGTTGCTTCAACTTTGACGTTTACACAGATCGACGTCGATCTAACTCGATCGAACAAGAACTTGTAGTTCAATATGTACGTTACATCACTTGCCGTGTAACACGTAACGATTTTGATGGAAAAAAAGATTAACGAGCACATGGCGTCACATTTGTACCCCAATGCAATTTCACAGAGTTCAAAGCGCGACTGATCGTAGAATTGATAGGTCATATTAAGTCATCTACGTAATCGTAGAATGAATCAAAACAATCTAGAGTTTATTATGCTATCGAGAACCAAATAAATAACTATAAATGTAAAAGATTCCATTGATTGAAAAAATAATTTATGTAACATTTTGAATAGAGATTTAAATTTTTTTATAAAATATGATTTCTCTTGAAGTTAAACACTTCAAATATTCTTTCAATAATATCAAATAAAATAATATAAAATTTTGTTACTTTTATGTTATTATAAAAATTTTGATTATAGTTAGTTCTCAGTTAAAAAAAAATTTCTTAAAATTTATAGAAATAATTTTATTAAATCTTAATATAATTTTTTACTGGACTTATAATAAACATTTCTCATTCATAAAATATAAAATATGTCAATAACATTTATTCAAGGTTATTGCAGAAATTTTTCGCAACATGTTTCAAGTATCTCAATGTTACGAAATCATTGCAATTGAAATGAAAGAAAATGGCTCGTATAAAGAAGTAAGAAAATAGTTTTGTTTAAATATAAAAATGAGAAATATCGGTGCCATTTCAAGAAAAAGCAGCATAAAGTTGTGTTCTGATAATAATTGTGTTGAACTCCTTGTTGCAAGAATTGAGTAACACTATTTTCTATCCTGCTGACGAAGGTCATGATTGTTATGAATTTACGACATTGATTCCCAGATACATAATTTTTGTACATAAATCGTGTTGTATTACATTGAAAATGCATTCAGTATAAAGATAATATTTGATTTGATACAATTTCCGTTTTGAAATTAGAAATAATATAAAAATAGATGTAAAATATCTTATTTAGAAGATAATTTCAAATTTAATATTTCATATTGCTTAATTAGAACTAATGTATTGTAATATTTATAAAAACAAACAATAATTCCAGATCTACATTGTATAAAGTAGAATTATCGAATTGCTCTTCATCATACACTTATCTAAATAAGTCTTATGATTAATCAGTAAAGTTAATCAATAAATGAAATATTAGACGTCATATCTGAAAAATCTCACTGAGATAAATCTCAGAACAACGGCAGCTGATCTTTACTAATAGTTTTCACATTCTATCGCAGCATGCCTTTGCTAACTTCAAACGTGATACGTAAGCGAGTAGTTTTCTTCTTTTTTAATTCATAGAATTCCATGTCGAAGAATTGAATTGATCTGTTGTGATGCAATAAGAAATTAATAAAGGTACATTCTGAAAATAACAATATCCAATAACAATTATCCAATTATGTAGAAATTAATTTTAGATATTTAAGTCTATAGATATTATAAAGAGCTTGCATTTATCAGAAGTACGGAAATAGAATTTTTTATCAATACTAAAGATTTTAATTTCTTGTCAGTATTGAACAAGTATGATCATTTTTAAAAATTATATTTAGTGCAAGGATATAATTAATGTATTTATATACAATATAAATTTATATACAATTTAGTATATTTATTTATAATAGATAAAAATTAGAACATGTATAAATTCTACATGTAAAAATTTTTTAATATTATGAATAAACACAGATCACTTCGCGACTAAGAAGACAAATAAAATCTTTTAAATATCGATCGGGATTTGTATATCTCTCTAAACAAGAATGCCATTTTACACCTACATAAAAAAAGAAATGGCGAGACTTCATTGAACTTTCACGTTTCGAGCGCGCATTCAAGTGCACTTATTAGATTTAATCTAAATCCGACAATATTATGAAAAATTCAACTTTCTATTCTACCCGAAAATAATTTCCGCTCTCTCTCTCTCTCTCTCTCTCTCTCTCTCTCTCTCTCTCTCTCTCTGCCGATGATAATATTCTAATTTTCTAAGCTGCAACCGCAAATGCATGAAATCATATAAGTATAAATAAAAGATTTAAAAGGCTTTGTGTTAGATCTGTATTATTCTGATAATACGATACCCGAATGTCTCGATTCCAACGTATGTATAGCTTTTCATGAATTACTGAAAATTGAAACTCTATCATGAGACACGTAATGAGTTGAAATTGGTGCAGTCAAACTTTTCCTACTTCTTCTGCATTATATATGCTTACACTGATCGATGCCGGAATAGAAGCAGAAAGACAGCTCTTAATGATAGAGTTACGACATCGTTCGTAGCTTACGACAAAATAATGATATATCACACGACATATACCGGTTGTACAAAATTCAAGTAACAAGGAACTTAGAGAAAAGTCACCGATACTGACATACTACTTTGTCTTTTTTAGACAATATTTCTTAAATAAAAGATAAAAGTAAAACATTAAAAACATAAGTACAAACTAAAAAGTCTATCAGATAGTATAAGCAGTTTTATACTGTTTGCAATTTTAGAATAATTAATTTTTTCATATGGTAAGCAAAAATGAGCATCTGATAAAATGGGCTTCAAAACTGACACAGTAGACAGTAATATTATGTATTCCTATTCTTTTCCTTTTACAGGAATTATCTGTATAAAGTACCTACAAGTAAATGTATATAAAATATTCCAGAATCTCTTTTCACTTTGTTATAAAATATTTTTATTGAATCATATGCATATTTATTTTATGCTATTTTTTGCAAGATGCAAATATGTAACGCGATTGTCAAGACACTTTTTTCACTTATGCACGATTGTCTTCAGCTCCAATAGAGTTATTTGACACTATAAAGCAATATTATAAGAATTAAGTTAGTTCATGATCTGTTTTAGATAGGTATGGCGGTTTATACTGCACCCCAATTTTAAATTTAAAATCGTATTATGAAAAAACTATGAGAAAAAAATAATATAACTGATTTAGGAAATTACAAGCATTTAAAATGATGTAATATTATCAATAATATAGTCACTGTTATTTAAACTACACAATTTGCAAAAGAAAATCATAAAAATTTTATTTTCGTATTCGTAGAATTCGTTTTTAGCTATTTTAGCTAATTTGGTATAGAAACAAACTACAAATGAATTTGTACTTCTTTAATTAGCTAAACAAATGATGATTTTATTAGTATTAATAAAATGCAATAGTTTCTAAGAAATAAGGAGGTGTTACTTTAAGAGATCTATGATAATATCGGCGACTTTCTTCTATTATTTCACAAGTTGGAAATCCAGTATATTACAAATAAATGCTCAGATATGAGTTCTGTTTTATATCTCTTTCATTGCTTCTCATTTAAGGTTTTTTTCCTTGGAAAGACTTTTTCCATTGTAATTAAATTAATTAATTTCTGGTTAACAAAACTTTAACGTCTTGTAAATTGTTGTTATTAAATTGAGAAAAAACAAAATTGTGCAAAAAATCTCTTACAATCGTAAATAACTCTAAGGGATAACATTTAAAAATATTAGAAAGATATTAATCGTTATTTCTTTCTAGAGTTTGATAAAACACCTGCGTTGTTTTCAATCTTATTATACACACAATAATTAAAGATTGAATAATCTAATGAGTTTGAATAATTATCTTATAAGAACGACGTAAGCTTGCATACACATAACTCTTATTGCATAAGATACATATTTATAGTATCTAAAATGTATCTTATTTAGATTGACCTGCTTTTTGCATTGATTAGATTTACAGATTTTAATCTATTTCCATGATTGCTTTTTCTTTAATTGAACACTAATCAACTTCTAATGAGCTTTCGTATTTATTCGAATATCATATATTTGTTCAAGTACCAGATCAAGTAGCAGCAGCTCAGTCATCATCGGCCACCTTTTGGAATCCCTCTACCAGTATCTTCTCTCAGGACGATAGCGCAACTTTCTTCCCTACGGCCCATGGTCTGGTGCAGACTCACCCAAGCAGTAGTGTATTCCGAAGTGGTTTTGGTGGAATTGACAATCTCGGTAGTCGAGGAGTGACGATGAGGCCGCCGAGAACACGGCCTCTTGATTATACTGAACGTGCTACCGCCGAATTGCGGCGAAATCCGTCGCTCTCATCGCCCGAGGAGTGTGCTCGCGCCTGTCGTGAGGGAGAACCTCCTAGAATATGTTATTATCACTTTACACTTGAACATTATACCGTACTTGGCGCGTAAGTACATCTCGAAGAATCTCAAAAATTTTTTCAAACGATTAGCTTCTAACTTTAGCTACAATCCGAAGTAACGTGAATATTCCTTTCCTATAAAGTTTTATATTTATGAATTTATAAATATAAATGTAAAATAATTTAATAAATTTTTATTACTTTTATTATTTTTATATTATTATTACTATTTTTATTCTTTTTATATTTATGATATTATTTTATTTAATAATATTAATATTATTTTTTGAATGTGATTTACAAAATGGCAAAATAATTCTTATAAAAATATTTTTTTTAATCGAGAAAACTAGATGTATTTTAAAAAAAATCAGTTAATTCTTATTACTAGAAAATATAGTTGAAATTGAACTGCTCTATACGTTTATATTATATATTGATTTGCAATAATTTAGGATGTATGAATTGCATGACTTTGTTAATTAATATTGTGTAAAATTGCCATAAATTTTCAGAGCGTGTCAAGTATGCACACCGAACGCTACCAACTCTATATGGAGCGAGTGTCAATGTGTTCTGGCGGACGGAGTGGAACGAGGTATCCTGACCGCGAACAGAATGATCCCCGGCCCGAGTATTCAAGTTTGTCAGGGCGATAAAGTCGTGGTTGACGTAGAAAATAATATTCAAGGATCGGAGGTCACGATTCACTGGCACGGCGTGTGGCAGAGAGGAAGTCAGTATTACGATGGTGTACCTTATGTAACGCAGTGTCCCATTCAACAGGGTAATACATTCAGGTACGCGATCTTATTTTTAATATAACAAATTTATATATCTTTCATAAAACAAAATTTTTTGATATAATTTTTAATTATTTACATGTTGATGTAAATAAAATTTTTTATTTTTACAGATTGCTTACGTTTAATGAAATGTAAGCAATCAAGAAAAGAAAATATATTTTATTAAATTTTTCATAATTCATAAAACTAAGAACTGTTTCTAATATCTTAAAATAAATATTTATACTGTTTTGGAATGATATGATAATTTATTAAGAGTGTTTAGTTTTGAGGGTTTTGCAAGAGATGACATTAATGTCAGTGTAAGATTCAGTTATCATTTCTTAATGCTTAGTATTACTCCATGATATTTAGCCGTTTATTTATTAATAATAGACGCAGTAATATCGTATTTATACATTTTAAAATGGAGCTTCCTAAACAGTATTTTTGACATTTTTGATTTTGCGTTGCTTTTTTAATCAGAAAAAACGCGGCGGCTGAAGGTCGAATAGAAGATGATAAAAATTTATATTAATGTTACTCCATCAATATAATATTAAGACAAATATTGATTTTTGATTCAAAATGGTGATTTTAATGTTAACAAAAATTGGAAAACACAGATTTGCAAGCATTATTGAACAAAAATCCAGCACAATCCAAAACTTGCGAGAGAATGATATATTGATCATACAACAGTTATTAAACATTTACATGATATATTGTTTAAATAAATCAGTTTTTAAGAAAAAACCCTCAAAACTAAATCATACTCCTAATATTATTGAAAAAACGTACCGTAAATGTTTTCTTAAAATTTGAACATTACATATATGCAACATAAATATAAATTAATATATGTATGTATGTACACATGTATTATAAAATTTATATAACAGGTTTATATATTCATAATATAAAACGATTACATGACATATATAGGTACCAATGGGTAGCCGGAAATGAGGGTACACATTTCTGGCATGCTCACACTGGCATGCAAAAGATAGATGGTCTCTACGGAAGCATAGTAATTCGACAGCCACCGAGTAAGGATCCCAATAGCAATTTGTACGATTATGACTTAACCACGCACGTGGTGCTCATCAGTGACTGGTTCCATGAGTTCGCTGAAGAACGTTTCCCCGGCCGTCTTGCAGTCAATACCGGTCAAGCACCAGAAAGCGTGCTGATCAACGGGAAAGGTCAATTCAGGGTACGTCTCACTTATTGTTAGAATATTAATATATTATATCGAACAGAGAATAACATTAGCTGACATTATTAATAAGCATATTTTGATTTATAATAGAAATGTTTTTATAATAAATATACATTCTTTCATATAAATAAAATTGCAAATGAAATTTAACATTTTCAAGATATTTTAGTATTTATTAATTGTTATATTATTATAGAAATGGATTATAATTTATTTCTGAACAGATATTTTTTATTTCTAATACTTTGTTGTATGAATAGTTTGTATTTCTTGTTGTAGGATCCTAATACTGGTTTCATGACAAATACACCTCTCGAAGTGTTCACGATAACTCCAGGCCGTCGTTATCGATTCCGATTGATTAATTCTTATGGATCTGTATGCCCCTCCCAAATTACGGTCGAGGGTCATACTCTTACTCTTATCGCCACAGATGGTGTAGCAGTACAGCCAGTACAAGTCAACACTATAATTTCATTCTCAGGTAAAGCAATTAATCTAAATGCATTACAAGATTTTAAACAATTATTCATGAAATGGATGAATAAATAACAATAATAAATTATTCATAAAATAAGGCAAAAGATATTTTAGAATATGAATTTTTTGATAAAACAGTTAAAAATCATGAAAAATGAAACATTTTATAAATGTTATTTTAAACATGTTATAAATTAGACCTATTCAATTTGAATTTCAGAGCCAAAATGTGTAATCATTGACGCAAAAAAATTCAATGTAGATAAGATTTCGGGAATTGTAAAGTATTAATACGTATCTGAGTGACGCTTATCAACATTTTACAATCCCTGAAATCTTACAATGAATTTTTTTGTGTCAATGGCTTTGCATTTTAACTTCGGAGCTCAAATTAGACAGGTCTGTTATAAATGCATATAATAAATAATAAATTAAAATAATTTTTAAGAAATAATTAATTCAGTCAAATATTTTATTTTAAAAAATTTATCGGTAAAAATTATTTATATGACAGATTAGACACACTCAACTCCTTAAGTGAGTTCTTAGACTGATTACAAGTTGATTCTATTGTCATCCCGCGTCAAATGTCATATATAATTTTACATTCTCTCTTAGGTGAACGTTACGATTTCGTTATAAATGCCGATCAGTCTATCGGCGCTTATTGGATTCAGCTTCGTTCTCTTGGAGAATGCGGAATTCCGCGAGCGCAACAACTGGCTATTCTACGATATGCTCGAGGTCCTTATCAACCATCTACTGCACCGCCTACATATGACTTTGGTCTTCCTCAAGGCGTTGTAAGTATATATTTATTTTTAACATTAAAAACGATGCATATCGTACAGTTCTTTGCTTGGCGATTAGAGACAATTAGAGACAAGAAAAATTTAATTTAAATTTTTCTCATAAATTTCCAATTTCTATGGTCTTACAAAATCTTATTTCAACATGCACTGCCATCTGTGCGAATGAGACTAATAGAAGAGATTCGTACGTAACTCTTACAAAAATAGAAATTATAGTTCTTTATTTAAATATTATTTATATATTATCGAATATATAGATAGTATTTAAGATATTGATTTCAATATGATTCATATAAACAAAATGTAACAATCAGAAAAAAATCTGAAAATTATCTTCAAACGATACAATAGAAAACTTTCCAATCTATACTAGTTATGGAAGAAATGATGTTAAACACTTAAAAACATAGAATAGAAGAATCTGATATATTAAAATGAAACTCCTTCAAATTCGAAATATTTGTATTTTAAAGAAAGAAATGTATTGAATGTTTATAAATTGTAATTCAAAATATATTTTGAAAAGAATTAACAAACTATCTCATAAATGAAAAAGTAACATAGAATTGTATAGAATTTGCTCTGTGTTTTTAAATATTAAATGTGAAAAAATTAGTTGCATATAATGTAAAATTACATATAAAAATTTTTTCAGTTATTAAATTCAGTTATTAAATTAAAAAATTCCTCTTAATAAATTAATATACGTTCCGCGCAAACCTTTCTATTTAATATTTTGGCTCTAAAGAGAAATGCAATTATTAAAAAATTTCTGCAGATATATACGGATGTATATTAATTATGACATATGATGATACTGGTACATTAGGCTTTCTTCTTTAATAATTAAAAAAATTTTTATAACCATTATAAAATACATAGAAATATAAAAAAAAATACCATGATCCACGCGGTGTGATGGTCATTTAAAATTGATACTGTCTGAAACAAGTTAATAAATTAGATGAAGATACAAGGAGAGCGAACTTTCAAGCATCTTTTCTTTTCAGGTTCTAAATCCTCTGGATGCCATTTGCAACCGACAACGCGACGATGCAATTTGCGTGAGCCAACTAAAGAATGCTGCTCACATCGATAAGGGTCTTCTACAGCAACGCCCTGACGTGAAGATCTTCCTACCTTTCCGCTTCCTGTTCTACAGACCAGAAGAGGTTTTCCAACCACAGACCTACAATCGCTTCCTCGGTAAGAAAGCGCTAATAGCTGCCATAATTCGCAAAAAGGAAACAAACGCATCACGTGATGATTGCATTTCATTTTTGCTTCGCGTAGACACGGCACTTCTCAGGCTTCCTTAGAATAATGTGCCCCTTTGAAAAGGGATACAATCTACTTATCTCTTGGATTATATCCAAGCACGCGTTGCATGCAACATCTTCGACGATTCCTGAAGCTACAAGAATTATTTAAAATACTCCGCGAAATATATTCACTATAAATTTTTTTACATACAATTAAATTTGAATATATACATATAGTATATTATTCTATATTATATTATTACTAGTAAATTCGATAAAGCGCAAATTGTTTTTTGTTTATATGTAATATTAAAAGTGTATATAAAGTGTATATAAAGTGTTACGGAATTACGCTTTTCTGTTTTTCTTTATTAGTTAAAAGTTTATTAATTAAAAGTTTTTAAATCTCTTAACAAAAATATGCAATTTTTAGGAAAACTTTGCAATTTTCAAGCTTTGTTGCTCCAAATTTTATTCACTTAACTCTTTTAATAAGAAATATGCAACTTACTGTATAATTCTGATGTGTCCGCAGTTGCGCCGACCGGCGATCACGTGATTTCTCTCGTGGACGAGATCTCGTTCACATTCCCGCCGGCGCCTCCGCTCTCACAGATCAATGACATCCCACCTGAACAATTCTGTAATGGTGATAATAGGCCAGCTGATTGCGGCGCCAACTGTATGTGTACGCATATGGTCGACATTCCATATAACGCGGTAGTTGAAGTGGTTCTCGTAGATGAAGGTGTGGACACAGTATTTGCTATGATTATTATATTGACTGTCTTCAAGCAGGCTATTCCGGCATTGAATAAACAGATATTCTTCAAAGAAATTTTATTTAAAAAATAATATTTTCATATTTTATATTTTTTATCTTATAATTTCTTTCTCTTACAATACATTTTTTTGTAAAGTAAAGCAGATTTCTTTTAATCACATTTAACTTATGAAACTATTTACACGCAAAGAACAATTTTATTAAAATATCTAAAAACTTAGATCTGAAAATAATTTTGTTGGACTAAACAACTGCCTAGGAAATTTAAACATAATGCTGTAAAAATTTTTAATGTTCTAGCAACTAGCTCCTATATAATTATTTTTACAATTTAACAAAATTATTTTCAAACCTATCTATTAAATATTTCAGCAAAATGTTCTTCTCGTATATAAATACCTTTTTTAATTCTTCGTATGCGATCGATTACAGTACAACAGCCCAACTTATCGCATCCCTTCCACTTGCACGGATATGCGTTCAATGTGGTCGGTATTGGCCGTTCTCCCGATAGAAATGTGAAGAAAATTAATTTGAAGCATGCCCTCGATCTCGATAAGAGAGGTCTCTTGCACAGAGAATTCAACCTGCCTCCTGGTAAGGACACCATCGCAGTTCCCAACAACGGTTACGTCATCTTCCGCTTCCGCGCGGACAATCCGGGTAAGTTAACAAGGACAATTGAAAACTTTTCGCGTGATAGTCCGATGAGATGCAAACCGTTTCCGTTCGCAGTTGCCGCACAATTACGAAAGTTTGCACGGCACATTTATATGCACTGACCTATCTCTATTGTATGTTTTGTTTGTCCAACTGTATTAGTAAAATAGTTAGACAAAAGTTTCTAGTTTCTAATTTTGTAATGACTTGGTTGCGATAATTTTTCACAAATAAATATTGGAAAATAAAAGCTATTACATATAATAAAATTAAAATATTAATTAATAAAATATTAATTATAAATTAAAATAAAAATATTAATTAATAAAAATTAAAATATTAATTGCATGTCGATAAAATAATTAATTTATAACGTTTTAAATAGAATACAAATTACAAAATATAATATCACAAAACATAATATGGAGGTAATAAAATATTGTAACTGATATCAAATGAAATTGTTGCTGCTGATGAAATTATAATACTAAATTAATATTATTAAAATAAACTAATATTTTTAATTATTAATCCATAATTCTGCAATTAAATTTATAATGGTGAAATTAATAACCATTGTTTTTGTTAAATTATAGGAATTTATAGAAAGCCGTTATCACTTTGATTATAAATTTTATCATCGTCGATTATTGCAGTGTAAAATAATCATCGTGATTAACCCTAGTTATTTTAACTCTGATTATACACTGGGATCTCAGAAACCTCAGTGCAACTTGCTAAATCGAAATCTTTTCTAAACTTTTTTCTTTCTTTGAATCTATATATATCTCGAAGTTCCATAATTTTATCGACTTTTACACATTATGGACTTGTTTCTTAATTAATTCTCCATCGATCGAAAAAAAAATTAATTGAAGTATGTCCATTTTTTTGGAAGTTACGGTAACAAATATGAATGGGATCCTAGGGACACGAGTATGTATATCAAGGATAGAAAAAAAGAATGTGTATAGCTAAGATCAATATTATATTGATTTTCTTTGTAGGATACTGGCTGTTCCATTGTCACTTCTTGTTCCACATATTGATCGGCATGAATCTGGTTCTACACGTGGGGACGCAAGGGGATCTGCCGGCGATACCACCGAATTTCCCGACTTGCGGTGACCATTTGCCACCCATTACGCCACCATTATCGCTGAATGTGTTGGACGCGTTCCATTGATACGTGCACGATGAGCTCAGAAACTGAGAGATGGAGAGACGCTCCAAAGTCCATACGATGCTTGTAGCATATTCCTGTAAAGTAGCGAGCCTATAATATCGATTTTTTTTTTCAAATATGCAACCTCGTCGGCCGTTCTCGAGAATGTGCTCTTGGCTCGAGAACAGCGATCGATCGAGTGAGGAATCCGACGGATGTCGACCCGCTGCCTCGCGAGAATGGCTAAGAGCAAAAAAGACGGTGAGGAAAATCAGATGTTGAGGAGATTCGCGAAGCAACGGGTTAACAAAGGCGATCGACGCTCTACTGGGCGTCGCGAAAAACGACGAACGTTCTCAGAAGTTACGATGACTTTAAAGTTGAGAGATTATGTGTTGACGGCAGTTGATAATTTATTGTGTTCCAGATGCTTCACCCATCACTATTATTTATGCTAACCTGCATGTTATCCTTGTTATCTTTTTGCTTGCTACGAAACTTATTTCTATTTCCATTCATATTTCGCGATCATAAAATTTGATTTAAGTAACCATCTCTTACGTTAAAACATATTTATTTGAATATAAAAAGATTGGATATGTAAACTGTATCCATAATAACTATAATCCGCAAATGTGGCGAGTGAAGCATCTCAGCAGGAACCTTACGAACGTTACTGGCTAACGTTTGTAACGCTCTGTATATAATGTAGAAATAGTCACTATACTTAACGAGATATTAATGTGGGAGTAATGGGGTACGTAGAATAGGAGGGGCATCGCCGGGAAGCCGTGATGACGGTTCGGGTGGAGAATTATCATTAGGATAAATGCCCTTCCAACAGGCTGGATCTGTACGATCACGGAATCCGCAACTATCAAAATTATTTAAGGATCCTTACATATTAACTTTGAAAGTTTAAAGATAAAAATTATATTTTATACATATAGAACATAATATTTATTTAAACTTAATAGTGACTAACTTTATATTAACTGTAAATCATTCAACTTTATTTTCATTGATCAGTCATTTTAATCATCTTTGCGACTACATCATCTTAAGGTGCTTCTACATAATTCGCAAATCGCAAAACATAATTCGCAAACACAGATTTGCGTTTGTTTTTTCATTGCATGCAGTTGGTTTTCGTCTGTGTGTGTTTGTGTGCGGTGATTGTCATGCGTTTGCGAACTACATTTTGCGATTTGCGGATTATGTAGAGCACCTTTATACGTATTCTTACTCTCTAAATTGTTTGAAGTGGAATCTCAAAGAGTGAAAATTGAACCAGTTGAAAAAAAGTAACTCACTTTTCAATCTTTAAAAGTAACATTTCACTTGTCAGAGTGTTTCACTCTAAAAGTTTAGAGAGTATCTTTTTATTTATTTGTTCATTATTTAAAAAACCAGAGAAAAAATATAATAACAAGATAAACAATTTTGTAAAAGTGTAACATGATTGATTGCAAATGACGAATTTCCCTCGACAGATCCAGGCTCTTAAAACAGTTTTTTAGTTAGGAAGTGAATTCGCGCATGTGCCGCGAACAGCCCGAAATTGCTCGTTTCATTTGTTGTTTTGTCAGCCTAAAATTAAAATTGATGAAAGTATCGGAGTAACATTCATTCGGCGCGCTTATTCATATTTAACATAAAGAACGTAACAATGTCGAAAGTGCAACAGAATCGTTTATCTTTAGAGGACTGAGATTTATTTTTAAATTAAAATCTTAGCTCTTCCTCGACCATTTGTTATAATTTATTTCTTGTTTCACAATGTAATACTTTTTCAGCGTCACTATAACTTCTCCGTCCTGTAAAGGTTAATGATTGTCATTCTTCTTTCAGCTGCATCGAGCGTACATAAATATATTTATTTTTTCACTTTCCGTTTGCGTTATCTTTCGAAATTCAGCGACATCCTAAATTGATCTGTCTCGAAGGCACAGACATAGGCTGATATTTTATCATTAATATATGCGCAATGCATACGGCGCAACAATAGCTGTACATTTATTCATGGTGCCTCAATTTTCTATAGATATGTTTATATGCAACTTACAATTAACGCTTAAATCGTTCGGTTATACAAAATAAACAGATGCAGAAACATTAGAGTAGGTCCACAACCTTGCTTTAAGAGGACTTAAGTCTAAAGAGATTAAGTGACAATAATTTCTGCCTTTAAACTGTTTTTGCGCAGATTTAGGCGTTAACCGTTAGATTTAAGCGAATTGAACAAAACCCAATTCTTACGGCCTAAAAGCATAAGTTCTGTGGCCGATATATCGTCACTTACAAGCTTACGGCCTTTTAAAGCAAGATTGTGGCCTTAAGCCTTACTTAGATATGCGAAATCGCAAACGCGCGTGCATCGTGCCTTATACCTATAGATAAAATTTTCCTGATACATTTCGCTAAATACACTCGTCAGGATCACTGAGACACGAAATACTCAATAGCGTAATCGTGAAATGCACTTAATTCGCCGACTTAATGCAAAAGAGATGTAGCGTGGATTAACGAATTTTTCAGTTGGTATTGCCAAGAGAAAGGAAATCCATTTTTCTATTATAAAAATATTCTATCATAAAAAAAAAAGATAAAAAAAATAAAAAAAACGATTAAAATCATTTAACCTAGAGATATTTTTTCATAAATCACTAATAACTAGAATATACAAAAGTACATAATTTTATACAACATACTCACAAAGTTTTCCTTTCGTTAAAATAAAAACAAAGTACCACCTGAAAAATCATCCTTTTTTTTTTTAAATTGTAATCCTTTTGCATTGAACTATCGAGTTGTTGTTGCTTTCTCGAGTCGGCCGTTCGCTTTCTCGCCTTGACAAAGGAGAACGTTCCTGGGATTAACAAGAACGATTTAAAGAACCGTGCAAAAGCCGACGCGATGTGAGAGCGAGAGGATGTATCTACGATACTACCAATCGAGGCGGTCGGCTTCGGAGACTGTGACAGTATGTCAATCTATTTGAATAGACGCGGTTTTGTGGGATAGCAAATATACGCTGTGTTTTTAAACTAATCGTTTTATTCTTAATAAGAAATAGTTTAAAAGAGATATCAAGGAGATAACGTACCTGCCGTTTAATTAACTGTATTACGAGCACATTGATTCTGCGTTTTCTCGTGAAGAAATCTTCTAAAAATTCATTGATTCACTCATGGCGTAACGATGAACAGATTGATTTCATCGTCGATGTTTAATCATGATTTATCATTCGCAGGCAATAAGGAATACGGGATACTTAAATCTAATTAATTTTCTGTGTGGAGATAATCTGTGTGCAGATGATATTGTATCGTATTATTAAGGCTAATCAGATTAATCGCAACATCGATACATGGCACTTTTAATAATGAATCTGTTTATGGAATTATTATAATTAATTATTAGGTATAAGATAAAGGCAATAGTCAATTATTATTTGAAAACGTCATGTCACTCCGACATTATACATTCAGAAAGTTATAAAATTCTAATCAAACTTTTAAGAGTAGTTAAATAATTATACATGCGATAAAATACTATTGTTTTACAAATTACATGTCCAATTTTTAAGCCACTCCTTGCAGGCTGTGCATTATATATATTATTATTATAAAGAATTTCACTAAAGTTTTCTATACATTCGGAATAATTTCTAATTGATTTCGCCACAAATTTTTTATCGACAATAGTTTTTAAAGATGAAAATCTGAAATAGACATATTTTGATTTAAATATTTACGCATGTTATCGAATTAATTGTCTAATTTAAAAATTTCTAATTTTGCTAAAAAAGTAAATTTTGCTAAAAAAAGAAAATAAAAAGATCGATCATATAGTAATTTTGATTAACAGTTATTTGATGAACTCTTCGAGCAGGTACATCGATCATTGTAAATATTGTAATACTGAAAATTTTCCAGTATTCATGTAGCTAGTAATATCAGTTTTCTCCCCGTGTAATTATTCATGTAACTAAATACCGTATAAATACTGTCAGTTACCATTCGTAAATATATGAGTTTTCGTGTTTTATATGGAGTATTTAAGCGAGAGTTATATTTGTGTATGCGTAGGGACACATGCAAAACTGCTGCAGACACTCATTCGTATTTTATTCTAAAAATGTATTTTTAATAATAAATCGTTTGTAAAAATAGCATTTAATAATTTTAATATTATACTTCCAATGTAATTATACTACCATCGTTGTGTTTCTTTAGAAGAAACTTTACTAACCTATTTCTCAATTTTCGCATAAAGACTTCGAGCTGTTCTTAGATGTCCAACTTTAACTACCGTAATTTACTGACTGGATGTGCTAAGAATACTTATTTTGCAAAAAAAAACGTAATGACTCTTACAAAGTCCGCTCACTTAAAATAAGAAGGTAAGATAGAAGATCATAATAGGATAGTTGGATATGAAAGTTGAAAAAGATGTTTCTGGCAGAATAAGAACGTAAAAATGAAATGCGATTCGTAATCGGAATTATCGTTATTAACTCTAATAACACAAGTCACAATGCTCTCATTCGGCGCATATTATTGAAGCAACATTTATTATTGTCACATTACCGCAGAATTCGTATAATTTTTATGCAAAGATCATAAACTATGATCGTCGACTACATGGAAAAAAATACATAAACTCAAACGTGACTAGCCAGTACATCGCGGATAGTAATAAAAAAAATTGTTCTGAATATTTCTTAAACATTAAATGAACATAACATTATGCATATAAATGAAAGTTACAGAAAATTCGTAATTACTATTGCAAATTATCTACCAAGCAGAACAACATGTTACGATAACGTCAAAATAACATTAAAATGAGTCGGAAATGATTGAAAAATAACTTTTAATCATTTCGAAATCATTTCGACATTATTTTATCATAATGACTTGTTGTTCTGTTTGGATATAATAAGTAGAAGAAACAACGATACTCTATTTTAAAAAATTATAATTTATAAACGTTTCGCATAATTCAAATTACTGCAGATATTTGCCAATAGAAATAAAAGACACATATGTTTTTCAGATTAATAAATTTATGTACAAAAAGCATTTATCTAATATATCTTATTTAAGATCAATACGCAGTTTTGTAAATTCTAGTGTCTATGCTTATGACTATTATATTATGATACATACGCAGTCTAAAGCACGAGAATCATTCCACGAATGATAAAGCTAAATATAAAAATACCAATGTGTGAATACGTATCGTTTTACGTCGTGCTTATCCGCAAATAATTTTATTTCATCAATACTTAATCCGCGTTTCTGGTATCTAAGGTGTTCGTCGTTGATATTAACAAGTGCAAAAGTATAAAAAAGATCTATGTGAGAAAAATGGTGAAAAACGTGTAATACTTGGCATCAATACAAATTTCATTGCTGAAAAATTTTCAAATTGTCAAAAAAGATAAATTAAAAATCATTATGTAATATTAAACTTGGGCTATTAACATTTCTATTATTATTAATTCATATTTTAATGTTAAAGCAACAGTTTTTTATTTCATGTACATTACGACAAATGTAGTAAGTTGACTTTCAGTCATAAAGCGACAAAATAACTTTTTATAATAAAAAAAAATGTTAACGCAATGTTCAATATTTTGTTCTGTACTTTAACTTTATATTTCTTACATAATATTTTTAATTCTTTTAAAGTTGCATCGATTGCAGTTTTACGTTGAACCGAATGCCTGTCATTCGTGCGGTTGGAATAATGCCATAGCGACGCATATACATAAAATTTGCGTTTAATTAGAGTAACGTTAATGAAGACAATGGAGTTCTAGTTTTTGATAAATGAAACTAACGGGAATATCA